ATTAGGCTACCAGTACTGTCAGGTATGATATTAGGTTACCAGTACTGTCAGGTATGATATTAGCCTACCAGTACTGTCAGGTATGATATTAGGCTACCAGTACTGTCAGGTATGATATTAGGCTACCAGTACTATCAGGTATGATATTAGATAGTGAGCAGTGGCGAGTTTGATAATGGTTACTAGTACATGCTAACATTTATGTTGTCTTCTGAGGCATTCACATCGCTTTAGCTTTTAACACTTTCTCACCCTTTTTTAAGTAATGTAACAATGCTTCTAATAACTCTTGCAGGAAATAAATAATGTATTTAATAGATGACAACATTTCCTGTAAACTTTATCGTGAAAACAATGGTAGCAGAGAAGCGAAATGATAGTTTCGCAGTATCTTGGTGAGAGGAATTGTTAAAAAAAACCATCCGTCATAAGTAAATGAATTTCTTGACATTAGGTTGAAAGAAAGAGGCACGTGGGAAATGACATTGTTAACATCATCTTCTTGGACGGGAATCACGAAGATCACGGTAGCTTCAAACCGTCGATGATCAAGTCACAATTTACTCGTATCCTTTGATCGTTCCTTTCTATGAATTATTCTTGATCCTTTACACCTGGCTTACTTAAGTGATGTTATTGAATTGTTGCATACAGTTGTTGCTGTTTATGTATCGTTAGTTAAGACGAAGAATACTTGGTTCCATTTTTTTTTCTTTTCAAATAAAAAACAGTAAGTCATTATACATGTGTACCAAAGTATTTCATTTCTTGTATAAGGAAATTGAAAAATCAGTACTTGAAAACGTCAAAAAATTTGATTAAAAAAATGGAGAACAAGTACTTATACAGGAGGCTTTGTGTTAATATGTATTTTATAGAAAAAGAAAGTAGGCTTACAGTTTATTTTGTAAAAAGAAAAAAATGAAACTTCCATAATTTAGATATATAAATTTAATATTAAGCGTATATTGAATTCACTACTGTGGAATTTTTAACAATTTCATTTCTCCAGCATAATTTTCTTACAAGCATATAAGATCGTAGGGAAAGTAAATTCCGAATATTTTAAATAACTATTTACATTTTAATGCGATATGTGACACGAAGAATGTCTCGGAACACTACATAATATTGAAGTTCGTACATTTCACAGCAAAGTTCATTACTGACATCGTTTTGTATAATTATTACTCTCCTGCACTATCTTATTGAAGATGAAGCAGACTAAACGTCTTTATTATTAGAATACACAGTGTTGTTTTTTCGAAAATGTAAAAACAAAATCTAGTAACAACCATGTAAAACTATTTCCTCTGTTATATATATATATATATTACAAGTTTAAAAAAGGGAACCTTTAACCCTACGTAAAACTGTTTACTCCTTCACTCCCTAAAATGTAAAATGATATCCTGTAAAAACTGTTTGCTCTGTCACGTGCTACGATATCCAAAATAGAATACTATAAAACCCTGTAAATCTGTTAGTTCCGTATCACTCCACAATATCCTAAATATGGTACTTTTTGAACCTTGTAAAATTTACTATTTACTTCGTCCCACGATATAATATCCAAACTACTCGAACATCCTGAAAAACTTTGTATTCCATCAGATGCTACAATATCCAAACTTAAATTGTCTTTATACCCTCTAAAACTGTTTATTCAATTACGCGCCACAATATAGAAATAAAGTACTATAACATCCTTGGTGAAACTGTTTATTTCGTCACACTGAAAAATATCCAAAGTAACGTACTCTAACACCCTGTAAACCTGTTTACTCCGTCACACGCTACAATATCCGAAGTAACGTACTCTAACACCCTGTAAACCTGTTTACTCCGTCACACACTACAATATCCAAAGTAACGTACTCTAAGCCCTGTAAACCTGTTTACTCCGTCACACGCTACAATATCCAAAGTAACGTACTCTAACACCCTGTAAACCTGTTTACTCCGTCACACGCTACAATATCCAAAGTAACGCACTCTAACACCCTGTAAACCTGTTTACTCCGTCACACTCTACAATATTCAAAGTAACGTACTCTACCACCCTGTAAAAGTGTTTATTCCGTCACACGCTACAATATCCAAAGTAACGTACTCTAACACCCTGTAAACCTGTTTACTCCGTCACACGCTACAATATCCAAAGTAACGTACTCTAACACCCTGTAAACCTGTTTACTCCGTCACACGCTACAATATCCAAAGTAACGCACTCTAACACCCTGTAAACCTGTTTACTCCGTCACACTCAACAATATTCAAAGTAACGTACTCTATCACCCTGTAAAAGTGTTTACTCAAAGTAACGTACTCTAACACCCTGTAAACCTGTTTATTCCGTCACACGCTACAATATCTAAAATAACGTACTCTAAACCCTGTAAACCTGTTTACTCCGTCACACGCTAAAATATCCTAAACAAGATAATCTAACAACCCCTGAAACTTATTATTCCCTTACTTGTGCAATATCGAAAAGTAGAGTATTCCCAGGTGCCGTATAACAGTGTTAACCTTTACACGCTACAATAATGAAAATAAATTGCCCTAACACCATTTTAAAGTTCTTACATATCCAAAATAGAGCACCGTATCACCCTATAAAACCGTTTACTGCGTTATACTCATCAGTATCGAAACTGAAACACTTGTAATTCCGTTTAAAACTGTTTTTGCTACAGTAATTTATTGCATCATATCAATTATTATTGTTGTTAATTATTCAATATAGATTTAGCTGATAGAATATACTTTTTAAAATTAAAACAAGGCGATGTGCAGGGTATTCTTGCTAAGTACCTTAATTATCAGCTAAAAATATAAAAAAAAATTGAACAACCTTCAAGATTCATGTAGATATAGTTTGTTGTACAGAGTGAGTATAATTTATGGTATGTTCTGATACCCATAACTCGAGGATTAAGCATCATAAAGCTGTAATATTTGGAAGTTTTATATGACGCCCATAAATCATTTATTTAGCATTATAAAGCTACAACATTTAGAACTTTTATTTTGACGCCCATAACTTGATTATTCGGCATTATAAAGTTATAATATTTGGAAGTTTTGTTATGACACCCGTAACTCGAGGATTCAGCATCATAGCGCTGTAATATTTGGAAGTTTTATATGACGCCCATAACTCAATTATTTAGCATTATAAAGCTACAACATTAATAACTTTTATTTTGACGCCCATAACTTGATTATTCGGCATTATAAAGCTATAATATTTGGAAGTTTTGTTATGACACCCGTAACTCGAGGATTCAGCATCATAGCGCTGTAATATTTGGAAGTTTTATATGACGCCCATAACTCAATTATTTAGCATTATAAAGCTACAACATTTAGAAATTTTATTTTGACGCCCATAACTCGATTATTCGACATTATAAAGCTATAATATTTGGAAGTTGAATTAATGAGACGATGAGAAACCTGAACCCAATAACAAAGAAAAAAAAAAAAAGAACTGTCACCAAAGGCGCTTATTGTAACGTCAACATGCTAGCAGTATCCGATGTGACCGCCATTCACGTTAATATGTGTGAGAGAACGTGATACGCAGCTGGACGATAGAATTACATTTGGTGGTGTATGTTATGTCTCGGTTCTATCAAGATAAGCATCACGGTACACTAATGACTTGTGGTGGCCGTATTGCCAAACATCGTTAGAGATTGGATCTGGGAGGATGATGCTCCCTTGGTTACCGAAAGCTTGTCCTAGTAATGTCATAACAGCCCGTTTATTCACGGATTGTTTAGCTTGTTGAATTCTCGACTTGTGGATTTGAGAATAGACCAACTAGCTTTATGATAACCTTGGACATCTTTTCGTGCATTAATAATAATAACAACAGGGAAAGGAAAACAGGCAGAAGATCCTTGTAAAAGATCATGTACTTCGTTGTATTGTCGAAAATATTTAAAACCCTCCAAGTCTATATATTTACTTTATAGTATCTAAGAAACACTACTATCTGAAACATTTACGTTTAGTATACAATTAGAAATATGCCTGAGTAAGTAGCCTTACAAAAAACTGTACAATTTTCTTCTCTGACATTCTGTACAATAAAATGTTTTATTTGTTACATAACCATACCCTAATATCGAAGAGATCACATCTGTGCATTGTTTTGTTTTTACCTTAACGATATTAGATATTTTTGCACTAGTATCGTACCAGAAGGACGACTGCTCGTATCGGTAAGATAATCGTGTTTTTAATAGTATGGAAGTTTGGGTGTTTTCTTGTGAATCAAATCTGTCCGTACCAGAAGTTCTGCATTTAATAAAGAAATAGGTTTGATGTGGAATCTAAGAAAAATCTCGCAAAAGATTTTATAAGTTGAGTTTCTTTGGTGACAAGGCTTGAAACACTAGCGAACCTGACTTCAATTTTATATTTATGAATATCGTAGTAGTCGGGAATCGTCCATTTTCGACTTCTTTACGACATTTATTCTACAATTGAAAAACTTATGTTTTTGTGAAATAATAGAACACTTTGACGGGAGTGGCACTCACAGTTTCAAATAATTTACGATTATTAATACTTTGGTTAAATGAAAACACATTAAGTCATCCCAGAAAATTCCTAATATCTAGCTTTCCTCATGTATTCTTTTGTTTTCTGTTTCCGATATTCGCGCAACGCTACACAAGAGCTATCTTCGCTAAGCGTTACACATTTTAAACTGACAGAGAAGAGCAAAGATAACTATTCAACGCTACCCACCGCCTACTCTTAGGTGTCCTAATCGAATATTGAGATTCAACCAACACTCTTATAACATGGCCATGGCGATTTTGCGTCAACGGGACGCGAACTGGGGAATCCTCGTGTTCACAGTCGGCTCTATATTGATTTAAACGTGCTTTATTTAAAATTTACTTTGTACGGATATTGCATGTTTTGTATATGCACACAAGATTCGCAAATATATCTAATTAAACTCGAACATTACTAGAAATTCCTATTTTTGTATTCAGTAATATCTAAATATGTTTTTACTGTTTCTAAAATACTTTTCTGGTGTTTCTGTTTTGTGCGACAAAGGCATGCAGATTCAGAAGTGGAGATATTGTTATTTAAACTTAAGAGTACGCTCCTCTGCGACTCAGTGATAAACTTGAGGGCTTATTACGCTAAAATTCAGGGTTATATCCTTGAGATGGACATAACATGTAGCCAACTGTGCATAACTGCAAACAAAAATAAAATATTTTTTTTAGTTTGGGTTTAGAAGGTGTATATACAATACCGAAGTAAGTCAAATCTGAAATGTTTGTTTCTCTTTCTATATATATATATAACACTATATTTATATCCTGCGGTGTTATTAGGTGTGATTAATTTCTTGTTAAACCTAAAACAGTTATATATGTTTTCAATTTATTACCCAGTTTGTCTGTATTCTCTGACGAATCTGTACCTTTGTTTGGTCCGACGTTGCCTTGCCCACCGGTCTTTTACACGACAGCTGAGTTTCGAGAATTTCTTCTCGTGAAGCGTAAGTAAATATTTTACCAGAAAGATCAAAACCTGAGTAAAGAAAATATTTCTTTGAAGGGGAGTCTTTCTTTGGCCTAGTGCTCCGAATTAAAGAGATTTGTGTTTAACCGGATCTTTTTGACATTGTAAGATTTAATAATGAGGTTGTACTAATCTTGGAAGAAGCCTTCAACAACTTGTGTAGAATGATTTATTGCTTCTTTTAAAGGAACCAACAAATGTTAAAAAAACCAACTCAACGCTCTGTTTCACACTTTTGTTCTTATAGCATACGACAAACGTAAATAAATATTAGATTGATTAATTTAAGAATGAGTGAAATTAATAGATGGGTAGCTGGATGGACTAGTAAATGGCCCGACAATTGGATAACTTGATATATGAGTGGCTAGATAAATTAATAAAAGGATTATTGATGGCTCAGTGAGTGGTTTTATTGGTAGAGAGAAAGATTAAGGATGATTCTCATTTCATAGTGTAGAACCACAAATCACGCTATTGTACAATATGATAATACCTTCAGTTTTTTTCCTTAGTATATGTGGCATCGCCTGTACATTCTAATTGTACGTTTCTTTCGTAGTGATGAATGGTGAAAAGGCAGCTTTTAATACGCCAACGTTCGCTCAGAAACGTGAACGTACACTTGATATGCTTATAAAGGACATGTACGCTGACCACTTAGTGGACACACGTGGTGTAAGATGTTTGTTCATTACTTATGTTTTGCACATTTTACCAACATTTTATTGTTATTCGTCTTTGTCGTATATATTAATGTTTCACCGAAACCTCTGTTGTTGTTTGTCTCAGAAACAATTTCTAGTGTATACATGCTGAAATGTTAGTTCTCTAGATAATCCTGCATGGAACATAAATAACAATAAATGTATAATACTTTTTTCTTGAAATTGTTTAGCGTTGCAGATTTCACAATAGAATATAAAAGAGACGAAAAGTTTTATTTTTACAATAATTAGAAATTTTATGTCATAAAATACAGCAAAAAAAAAACTATACAGACAGAATATTTTCTTACCCTTTCCTATGATAAAATATTCGAGAGTGAATATATTGATATATAATGATGACGTGATCACATAGAAACGTAATTTTTAGTTACTCTTAATATTTTGGTAAGCCTTATTCATATTGTTTCATTTTGCTCTAAACCTCAGACTGAAAATGTGTACAATTTTAATATATGACTCACTGTTCTTTGGTTAGTAGGACAATTTTATCATTATCTTCCAACCCTGGTCTAAGGATGTTAAGTCTTTTGGTTCTAATAATCTACTTCAACTGAACTGTTTAGGGTGAAATGTTGAAAGTAAATTAAACATATTATGGAAACAATCGATTTTTATTAAAACTTTTCTAGGGTGTTGTACCGATTGGTTCCATTTTTTATCCAATAAAAAAAAAATATTCAATTTATTCAGATGGTAATGTCCAACTCCTGAAGACTTGTATTAACAATAGACCTAATACTCCTGATGAATATCATGCTTGATTATATTGAATCGTGATTTTTATCACGAATATTAGATCTTTTGGTTTCTAATGCCTACCGACTTTCGATATTCTACAGCATGACTAAAATTAATAGTTATAAATCTGAACGGGAAATATACTTTGGGGAAGATATCAAGAATTTGGAAAGACATACTCTTTCAACATAGGTCACTTCAAAGAGGTGTATTCCGTATATAACCCTCGTCTGAAAACTGAATTTATATACCATGTGTATTGAAAGAAAAACTGCTTTAGTCTATCGAAGTTTCTTTGCGGGTAGCAACAGTTGATTCATTTCAAAGTTTCAGGTTACTTCTGTTTCCTGTAATCAGCTGTTGCTATCCCTATAAATAAACTTCGTTAGACATTACAGTTAGGCAGCCTAAAGTTTATATTAAACATCCACGTTCAGTCATTTCAAACTAATATATAACTATCAAAGGCATCTTTTTAGGAAACGAAGTGTAAGTTTAGATAATTTTGGTCAAATGAATCAGCGCATTGCAATAATTTTTACAAACTACGAATTGTTTTGTTATTTTCATAATGTCAATATTTTAAGCAACCTATAGTGCCTAAGTTTAAAGACATACCCTTTTCTAGCAGACGATGCTCAACCGACGTGCATTTAGTGACGTACTTCCGGAAACGTCACGTGGCTCACGTAGGAAAGAAAAAGCACGGCAAGTTGAATTCGTCAGATTTGGACAGGTGAGATTGTATTAGGCGTTGTTCCTGAAATCTGAATCAAATATATTTATATTTATTAGTATATTTAGGCTTTATTTAATTTCTTACGTCTCACTGGATAATTTAATTTCGCTCTAGATGTTGAGATTGGACACTATCGTGAAGGGGGATGCTCCTACCAGTTTAGTAACTACAGGACTTTTCAAACGAGAGGTAGGCCTACATCCAATTAAAAAACAATGTATACGATAAAAAAAACTAGTAAATAGTTTTAAAAATATTATCTAATCTCGTATTCTAAGTTCTTATTTTATTTTAATTAGTGACACAAAAATGAACTTTATTAATTGTAAATACATGGAACTTCTATAAAACTGTGTAGTATGTAGACCAGTGAAGCCTATAGACATTGACGTCGCAGCTAAATTCTGGGCCCCTTTGCGACAGCCACCATCTTGATTTTTTACATTAATTACTTCAGAAGGAAATGTTTGCAAGTTTTTGTATTTGTTTAATTATCGTCCATGTTAGGTTTATCTAGTGAAAAGTACAACTTGAAATACACACTATAATAAAGATAATTATTATTTATTAAGTAAAGTTTTAATGTTTTAACATTTTAAATTGCTGAAAGAAACCTTTTTTTCTTCCAAATGCTGATTGAATAATCGTAATATCAGTGGTTATGTAGGGCCTACTTTTGTTGTTCTAACTATTAGAAACGAAGCAATCTTAATGAGCTTAACTATACATGTACACAGCGAGGTCACAAGTAAATAGACACTACCTTTTCAGAAAAAAATGAAAATTTTCAGTCATATTCACATGAATTGATATATTTATAATTTAATTAATATCTAGTAGATCTTCCTTTCGCTTCGTGAAGTTCGTTGATCCTTTGGGGCATCGCGAGAATCATCTGGTCAATTTTAGATTGTGAGATTTTCGCCCACTCTTGCTTCAAAACTTGGAGTAGATCACTCTTCGAAGTTGGTTTTTTTGTTGTTTCTTAACTTGGCGGTCGAGTATGGCCCAGAGGTTTTCGATGGGGTTCATGTCAGGAGATTGGTTCGGCCA